GATTGATTCAATTTCATGCCAGATAAAATTAATACACTTAAATTATCATAATCTGTTAATTTACATCAGTATTTAGTTTGTAGTGATAGTTGAAAAGGCAGTATCTAAATTTGTATTACTACTGAATTTAGTAAGACGTTATTTCTCAATGAGCAAAACGGTATAATAGCTAAAATATAGATCCAAGTTATAGATAAGTTATATACCTGTGATCAAAAAGTATCAGGAATGGTTCAATAAAACATGAGACTTGAATTTATTCATCAAAATTTATTTCATCCTCTTCAAAATAATCCCCTCTGATTACAATGCACTTATGCCAACATTTTTTCTAATCCTTGAAATATGCTTTAAAGTTGATCCCTTCAGGATCTGCAGTGAATTTTGTTTTATGGTATTGATCGACTGAAAATGGTGACCATGATGTGGAAATTTTAGTCAAGAAACTAGGAAAAAGTCACATGGCATCATATCAAGTGAATACAGAGCTTGTGGAGATAGTGTACCAGAGCATGGTTCATCTCAATGACTTCTCTACCTTCCTTGAACATCTTGTACCACTTGAAAACATCAAGAGATTATGACCTAGCCTGTTTATGATTTAAATGGATAGGATGAACAATCTACACTACAATAGCTTTCAATTAGAAAGGAGACTGAATGGATCTCAAATCTATACAGATCACAACAGGCAGAAACTATCCAATACTGAAAATCAATCCCAGTTCATTTGCTCAATATCTAACATCATGCCACTGTGGGAGATTCTGAGAGATGTAACTTACATTAAATTACTTATTTTTCTTTATTTTAAAATGCTTGTATCTTGTATTCAAAAAAGTTGAAAGATTATTATATGCTGGTTTAAGGATTTTTTTATTGCCAACATTCAATTTGTCATTTACTACATCTAACAATGACAAATCTTTCAGCAATAACATTTTATTCAGAAAATAAAAGTTTTCCATTCTTTAACTCATGTAATGAAAAATTACTATAACAATACTTTATTGAATTAGTACTTAATTTTAATATGCATGTTTTACTGAACTATATTTTTTTTTACTTTTAAATGTTCAACAGTGTTCACAGATTTCAAACATGAACACTGAAAATCTTTAATCATGGACAGAAACTGGAAAATGATAAATGTTAAAGTTTAAAATTAAAGCTTGGTATAGCATTGATACAGTAACTTTATTTGAAAAAATTTCTGACTGATTTTTATGCTATTTCTGAATTTCACAAATACAGTAGTTCTGGTAATTTAATATGGAAGAAATAGATTTAACAAATTTAGAAAATTTTCAGATGATTTCTTTAAACTTAGGAAGTAAGAGGTTATAATATTTATAATAATGTTAAGAATTGAATATATAGTAATAAACAAAAGCTCTTAATTTTATTTTTTGGAAGAATTTAAAACTGCTATAATTACAAGTTTTCATCTCTCATTTGAATTCTAAGAACAAAATATAACAACAACTATAATTTTAATCATTTTATAACTGCTTATATAAGTATAAGAAATTAAGTTTCAAGTTTAAGAATATTCAATCAGAATTTAATTTTGAAACATTAAAACTACTTCAAATGCATTTTATAGTGTTTAAAAATAATTTTATTAAAATTATTTTAAGCATTTTAAAATATGGTAATATCAGACAATAAGAGGAAAAAACCGTTCTAGATTTTACTGAGGAGATACTATATGCTACTGAGTTAATAAATATAACTGGATTTTCTATATCATCTGTACCAAAAAATTTTATTTGTTTTTTTAATGGCTTTCAAAGAAATACAATGATATCAATATTCAATAATTTGCTTTAGACAATTTCAGTGAAATTACCAAACATACATTTACCTATTTTGCATTTTTTTGTACATATTTTTAATTTTATTTCTATTTTTATCATTGTTGGTATTTATTCTACATTTTTCATTATCTGTTTAGTTCATTTATGCATTTTTAGATATTTTTAGGTGTTCATATTCGTTTGTGTGTTTTTTTTTGGGATTTCAGTCATTGCATATTTATTCATTAGGTATTATTCAGAAATCTGGCATTCTCATTTCAAATTTTTTGTTCTGGGATCATGTTTAAATTACAGTATATTCATCAGAAATACATTCATGTTTTGTACATTTTGAATAAAAACCATTATTCAATCTTGAAGAAAGTTGATAAAAATTGACCAAAATCATTAAAAAATTAAAAATATTACTGCATTTTTGTGGTGTGGTTATCAGTGAAATATTTAAAATAACAATAAATAAAATAAAATATATCAATTCTCAAACAAAATAATAATATACAATAATATACAAAAAATACACATACACAGACTAAAATAATTATAATTTAGTAAAGCTACAAGAATATAAACTGAACATTCATCAAAAGACTAGACAATGAAATTAAAAATTCTCTAAAACAATTTTTAATAATTTTATTTTTCATTTCATCAAAAGTTACTCATAAGTATAATAAATATAACTTTTGCTATGAAGGCAAACACAAAAAAAACAAAATCAAATAGTATTGTATAATAATGATCTTAAGAATTGTTATTTGATTCCTAATTGACTAAGTAAGAATCAAATAACTAGTGCCAGAAAACAAAACAAGATACTTTATCAATGACAATTAATCATTATAATGAACTGTACTTTGCTCTCATAAAGTATATTTATAACTTACAATGGAACAAAAATAAACACAGATGATAAATATAAATTCAGACAGTGGGAAATTTTGTGAAGTAAAAAGTCTGGATTAAATTTTATTACTTACTTTTTAACAGAATAAATATAATATTATTTAATAGAAGTCTATTAAATTTTTATAGGAAGTTTGGCCTAAATTTTTCTGGAATATCTGGCATGACCAAAGCCACAATGGGCTTGAAAAAAATTTTTTAAAAGTTTTTATAGACCCTTCTTAGTACCAGCAGTGCAAAAAGAGTTAAAAGAAAAAACAGTAAAAATAAAGCATTGACAAGGCAAGTGTTAATATAGAGTTCTCACAGAAAGATATTGAAAAAAATGAATAAAATATTCTTATAATACTGAAAATATTTAGATTATAGCATATAATTCAGCATGTATATGAAATAGTAATAACTTAAAAATTAATAAAATAACTTTGCAAACTATACAAAATCAATAATTTATAAACTTCTGTAATTATATATATATGTTGCACTCAAAACCCGTTTTTAGTTATAACGCGTTTTAACAAGTTGAAACTAGTTTATACTGGATGTCTTTGTTAAAACTCGTTTTGTCTAGTTAAAACTAGTTTTGTCTAGTTTTATACTAGTTTATACTGGATGTCTTTGTTAAAACTCGTTTTGTCTAGTTAAAACTAGTTTTGTCTAGTTTTAACTAGACAAAACGAGTTTTAACAAAGACATTCAGTATAAACTAGTTTCAACTTGTTAAAACGCGTTATAACTAAAAACGGGTTTTGACTGCAACATATATATATAATTACAGAAGTTTATAAATTATTGATTTTGTATAGTTTGCAAAGTTATTTCATTAATTTTTAAGTTATTACTATTTCATATACATGCTGAATTATATGCTATAATCTAAATATTTTCAGTATTATAAGAATATTTTATTCATTTTTTTCAATATCTTTCTGTGAGAACTCTATATTAACACTTGCCTTGTCAATGCTTTATTTTTACTGTTTTTTCTTTTAACTCTTTTTGCACTGCTGGTACTAAGAAGGGTCTATAAAAACTTTTAAAAAATTTTTTTCAAGCCCATTGTGGCTTTGGTCATGCCAGATATTCCAGAAAAATTTAGGCCAAACTTCCTATAAAAATTTAATAGACTTCTATTAAATAATATTATATTTATTCTGTTAAAAAGTAAGTAATAAAATTTAATCCAGACTTTTTACTTCACAAAATTTCCCACTGTCTGAATTTATATTTATCATCTGTGTTTATTTTTGTTCCATTGTAAGTTATAAATATACTTTATGAGAGCAAAGTACAGTTCATTATAATGATTAATTGTCATTGATAAAGTATCTTGTTTTGTTTTCTGGCACTAGTTATTTGATTCTTACTTAGTCAATTAGGAATCAAATAACAATTCTTAAGATCATTATTATACAATACTATTTGATTTTGTTTTTTTTGTGTTTGCCTTCATAGCAAAAGTTATATTTATTATACTTATGAGTAACTTTTGATGAAATGAAAAATAAAATTATTAAAAATTGTTTTAGAGAATTTTTAATTTCATTGTCTAGTCTTTTGATGAATGTTCAGTTTATATTCTTGTAGCTTTACTAAATTATAATTATTTTAGNAGATATAAAACAAAACCTGCCAATTCAATAAATGGAAAAAAAATATTATATGGAATTCAACGAAAATGAAAATTTGCTTGATAATTCAACTACGCTTGTTGGAGAGAACAATAAAAACACTACACTCAACAAGCCACCAATAAAACTCAACTGCCTAACCTATAACCAAAGTCTCCTTTTAATTTGTTTTTTAAAAAAAGCGCTTGATAAACTTGCCCCGAGCTCCCCTATTATTTTAAAATATTTCACTTACACAAAAATATTCTAGACTCTCTAACGATGTATCAATAACAACCTTGTTACTGTACAGTACTTTACCGCATATAAGGCGCACCCCTTTCAGCACAGAATATTCCGGAAAAGAGTATTTAATGTATTTACCTATAGCTTATTGAAGGCCGTTTCGGGAATTCGTTAGCCTACTGAAGATCGAAACATCACATATAAGACGCCAGCAATTTTTTTAGCCTTTTTCTGGATCAAAGTTGCCTTTTATATGCCATAAAAAACGGTAATTACTTCTACCGTTCAAAAAAATCATTTAATTTTATCGACATAAACGTTTACCAATTCTTAAATTATAAGCAAATTACGCGAAAAAATAATAGAAAAAAAATAATACGATAATAATAACAATAAAAGAAGGAAACGGAAAAATACTCACCGTTATGTTTTTTAATCTTCCGACGATATTTCCCTTACACCTGCGACCCATGATTGGCGAAGAAGCGTAGTCGCATTCGGCGTGTTTGCTCTCTTCTCTGATAGTGGGCCCGCAACAGGCCGTAGTAGGTAAGGCCCCACTGGTCTGATTTGTGATAGTAGTTGCAGCCACGCCCTCTCCTTCTCCCGCAGCACACGACCGGGCAAGAATGGCGCTAGTGAACTCTTCTGGTGTATAAGGACGTAAATCGGCTCTGACTTCGGTGGGTTTCGATTCGACGATATCTTCCACTTCCCAATCTAAATCGTCCGGAGGTTCGTAATATATGTGATTACCAACACACGTAGTCGTCATCTCTGCAACAATATTCGAGAGAATGAAAGAATTAAATTATTCGCAACTCGTTTTTGCCGAAAATAGAATCTCATTAACGCGTCTTTGAGTATTATGATCGATTTTTGTTTGTCGGCCATTTCTTGTTACTGCCGACTCTATTAAATTAATCAGCTGACAGCCTCACGTGACTCGTTGTTGGTCCACTTCGTTATTAATGCTATTCACCTCGGTATTCTTGTCCGGAGTAATAAAGTATCCCAAACTATCATTTGTCTCTATCAGCAGTATGTAGGCTACGAACCGGTGGAATAATAAACGCGTACACATCTTTAAGATTTTTTTACGACCGACAATTTAAACTGTCGTCTGTGGTAATATAGACGTAGTTACTAATTCTGAAATATATGTAAATCCATTTGAATATTCATTTCGAAAACCAAAACACCAACTTTATAACAGAGACACGTCTGAATATCGAAGGTTTTGTTTTGTTTATAGGAGCAACATATAATACTTTAAATTTATACTTTTTCAAATAAATGTATGTACAAAAGTACAATTTTAAGTATAAGTTACGTTATTTATTCGTTATTTTAAAGATTTACTTCCCGTTTCCGTTATCATTTAGACGGGAAAAAAATGGCCGCGAGTCTGTTGCTGAAGAGAAATTTGTTTATTCTACATAAAACTTTATTATCTATTCTGAAGGTTTTCTAAATGCAAGCAATGGTTGATTTATTATTTTTTATATGGAAAAAATTTCTGTAAAATATAAAAATGGAGTTATGAGACAATTACGATTGTTTAACATCAGATAAAAAGATTATTAAGTAATCCATCATCATCAGCAGCAATTTTAAAACAGGCAAAAATAAAAATTGCAGTTTACTAAAGCTGACAAGCATTACTAATCCTTACTAAATTTCAAGATAAACGTATAGAAATGTCGTAATTATTATTATTTTTTCCTAAAACAATGATGAAACAGACCTATAAAATCGTTTTATAAATATCAAAAGTACTATTGATAGAAACCTTTTAAAATGTAATACTAAACAAAATGAAATCCAAATAACCAGAGCTTGAAAGAAGTAAGAAAGGGGCTTGGACAATCAAACGTGGGACCTTACCCCTCTCCCGAAAACCACAAAAATACGTAAATATAACCGATAAAAACAGCTTTTGAATCATATAGAATCTTTTTTATATATATGTAAAAGACTAAATTTTACGTGCTTCTATGTGATGGAGGCCTTAATATTTCTTCTACCTGAGCCTATCAAAGATTAAAAACAAAAAATGGCAAAAATAGCTACGTTCTTCGAAAATAATTATCCTCAAATTTTTATTGGAAAGAGAAGGCAACATTGTTTCTATATAAACACCCTTTTATAAACATTATTTAAATTAAGTATCGAGCCAGTTATTTAAATTTTTTTTCTTAAATTAATTTACCAGAATTAAGTAGTTTATAAATTAACTCTGAAAGGAGAATAATGAGAGACTTTTAACTGAAACTACAATGTTTCTTCTAAAAATCTTTTTTTTCCCCTCCTTTAAGAATTCCAATTAAAAATAAAACAATAATACAATTTCTAAGGACAGTAGAAAGTAAAGTTTTATTGGGCTGCAATTTGTAAAAATTGTAGACCTATAAATTCCCACCGAGGTCCGTCTATTTGTTCTTCCTTAATCGCGAGAACGCAGTTAGATAGATGAAAGCCGAAACTAGATATGAAAAGCTTAGGGATAGGAGGAATCGATTAACTATATACGAACTTCCAATACAAACCGGAAGTCACATATTTCACGTTAAAAATTTTCCCCTGAAAGGTATTAGATGACCGGAACGACTCTATTGCTAACAGGAAAAGTATGATGTACTGGGACAAAACACTACTAATTTGAGGTGGAGAGCATATAATTTAAATTAAATAAATTTAAAATATGATTAAAAATTGCCGCCCGGCATTGTGGCAGTGTCACAATCGCAGTGTGCTCGCTTGTAAATTAACTTAATCCAAGAAAACTTTTTCAGGTGAATAATTTCGAATATCAATAAACAAGCTCCAAATACTCATAAGGGTCTACTAAAACCTATTTTTGAGTTTTTATAAAGTTAAATATGGATTTTATGAAGAAATCTCAATTTATGCTAAACATAATGCTGGATATTTCTACCATTCTTGAGTTTTAGAATTTTAAAAAATAAATAAATATTTTAGCAATTTGAGTCAGTAATATCTTAAAATGAGAAAAATTATCAATATTATAAAATGAGAAATGTGTATTTTACGACCTGCAAAGTTCCATTATGTTGAATTTTTTAGGGAGATTTATACAGTATTTACATCGATGTACAGGTATTGACCTTGATCGATATTATTGGAATCGCCATATTAAAACCTGCAGAAATCCGAATGTATAACCTATTAAATTATTTATGTGGCGCAGAATATAAATACGATAATAATAAAAAAAAAAGACAATGACTATTTCTTCCGTCGACTAACATCTATATTTAACGAAGAAGAGCGAAATTTTTCGATTTTCAATATGCACTTGGCTCTTAAAATATGGCTCTCGGCACTATTAAAATATGTAGCGAAGAGTACAAAGCGCTACAACTCCTCAAAAAATAATAATTTTAATTAAAAAAATTAAATTCCTTTAACTTAAATATAATGTTTATATAAATTTTTTGTTGTTATCAATAAAGTGTAAGAATATATGTGGCCACCGTAATTAAATTTTATTTGTTAGCGCCTATCAAACTTAATTGCTGTCTGCGCTACTGTATTAATAATTAAACTGTTTATTACAGAAACTTGCGAACCTGAAACGTATTCCGTATTTTAAATCTTGTTTCTTAATGTACTCGTATATTTATTCCGATGTTTAAGAAATAATTATTATTATAGTTTATGCTGCAGTAAGCTATATTACGATGCTTCTAGATGTAACGTCAGAAAAGAATTTTATTATTTTAGAGGTAACACGTACAGTGCAGTACTTCGAGGTATCGTACAAGTCGAATGTTGATGCACGAATAGGTATGTTAAATTGCAAGGTCAAACGTGCAGTGACGTAAGGAATTGCTTAAACATAATTTGATATGAATTTAATCGAAATTGAAAGTACTATAATTTCTATATTTTAATAAACTACTTGTAATCACAAATACAATAATTAGGCACAAATATTTATTGTTAAACCTAATTAAATGAAAACGTTAACAAAAATTTTTTTTAAAGTAATAATTTACAATGCCGACGAAATAAATAAAATTATTAAAGTTACTCGTTAGACTATTAGAGTAATTGTTTGTCAATGTTTGAATAACCTGTTTAAATCATTGTTATTCGTTCATATCTAGAAGAACGAAAACATAATGCCATGAATGAGACTTGGTAACAGAGTAAACACGTGGCAATCGACATAATTCAGAAAGGACCTTGAAACATATGGGAGGACATCTATTGCTTCCCGGATAGCCTCAATAAATTAATTTTTTTTTTTAAATTTGTGTGTAAGTAAATTACAGAAATAAAATAGTCAATGAATGCTACAGTAAATTGAACAGAATGCATTGATGTGTACACTTAAAAATATCAGTTAGTTCATCACATTATAACTCCTATTCAGCTTTACAACTGACTTTTATATGATTGACATTGTATTTCACTTGAGACATCTTATAAATCAGAAAGCATTAATAAATTAATTTATTAATGCTTTCTAAAATCTTATAAATTAGAAATAAAATATTAATGCCTTATAAATATTTTATAAGTTATCAAATTATATTTATTTTAATCATTCGTAGAATATAATTTTTGTTTGATTTAAATTTACTTATGAAAATTAAAAATTAAGACTGGAAACATCCAGATGATAATACAGGTATAATAAATTAATTTGAAAATCTAATGTACAGAAAATAAAAAGTAAATAGGCTAACATAAGAAAATAAATTTAACTCTATAAAACATTTCTTTTGCTACCTACTGTTATTAAATAAAATATCAATTTTGTTTTGCACTAATTTTAATTTGGATATACAGTTTTGTATCTAGCAAATAACAAAATTAATTAATGTAATTAATTAAATATTTAACGAAAGTAATTTTTAAAAAACGTTATTTTAGTTCGTGTACATGAAATAAAATTCAATTATATAATATACCTGTGATATAAATAATCACTAATTAATTACAGAAACAAGGTCTAAGCTTTAGTTTAGACCTTGTTTTTAACTTCTATCTTACACTAAACCAGGGCCTCTCAGAGTTCGAGAGAGGCTCGGGCCATTTACCTTTATGAGGCTCATCATATTAAGAAAACCAAAACAGCATTAAAAATTATTTTTTTTAAATAATAAAATTTGATTTTTAAAAAAAACGAGTATTTTTTCCCTTTAATACGCGAGAAATGTACCGGAACGAATAATTCGTTAAATGTTTTTGAGGTCCATATCTCGGGGCTAAATGGCTCTTGATATAAAGCCTAGTTTAAGCATTATAACCTTTGACATTAACAATAGTTAACAGTAGCTAACTATCTGCCCAATGGTAAGGATGGATGGCATAGAATGGTTATCTAAATTTTGGTTTAGGCTACACCATATTGAATTATTTCGAGAATCTAAGGTATGCGTGGAAAGAAGCTATCGTGAGGAATTCGTAAAACTTAATATTGTCAATATTTAATCTACAAAAAATGAAGTTTTGCGAAGAAATGTCTTACAAGACCATTGAAAAATTTTACAAACGAAAGTCTGAACAGCCGTACTTAAATGGTTTTGTACTTGTAATTTAAAAGTAAACAATTCACCAGTTAAACAGGTTTGTCTTATATGATAGAAACTTATGGATAACTTAATTAAAGCATTCTTTCACTCGAAATGCATAATTAAAACAAATGGCAGTAAAATGAACTAAAAGAATTATGACGTGTTATCAGATGCCAATTAAAGTATTTTATAACCAGATCTGCAACATATTTCTTCACACGATTGACA